TAGGGAGCAGCACTATTGGGAGGTGTAGCTTTATTGGAGTAGGTATGGTCTTGTTGGAGGAAGTGTGTCACTGTGGGGTGGACTTTGAGGTTTCCTATGCTTAGGATACGGCCTAGTGTCTCAGTTGTCTTCCTGTTGCCTAAAAGATGTAGGACTCTCAGCTACTCCTCTAGCACCTCATCTGCCCGCATGCCACCATGCTGCCCGCTGAACCTCTGAAACTGTAAGTGGGCCACCCCAATTAAACATTTTCTTTATATTAGTTGCTGTGGTCATGGTGTGTCTTCACAGTGATAGAAATCCAAACTAAGACAGGTTCCTTCTTGTGGAGTGGGCCTTAAGTCAAATCAGACATTGGCTATTCCCACAAGTTCTATGCCACTACTACAAAACAGATTGTAGGTGAAAGGTTTTATGGCTGGGTAGGTTTCTACATTTTGCTTTCCATTGCCTTCAGAGTACTTTCCTTCACGAAAGAGACTAGACTACGAAGGTGAAAGGCTCCATGTAGGCACCAGCTCGACTTCTCCATGTCAATGAGTTCTGTGCGTGTTGTCCTACTGCCAGTTTGCAGAGAGCAACCCTTAGTCTTAGCGATAGCTTGGGTTGCTTGGGGATTCCAAATGGGTCTCCTTGGCCACCAACTCAATTGAATGCAACCCAGCCATGCCACGAGAAGCCTCACCTGGTGACAAAAGATGGCTTGTTGAGAGTCCCTATGTCCCATTACTAGAAGTCTTCCTCAGGATCTCCTGCACAGATTCCAGGAAGTCTCCACTGCCCTAGGTTTCCAGTCCCCCCGCAAGACCCCAATTCCAGTCATTTTCTCCCTACACTGTCTTCTTCCTCCCATTCCTCTCACCTGACTCTCCCCTCTCATCCCCACGCACCTCGAGTCTACCCAAAAGTCTCTTCTATTTGCCCCACCCAGGGAGGTACATGTGCCCCCGACTCTTCCTCTTCACCCTCTCCAGATCTATGGATTATATCTTGGTTATCATTTACCTTACTGCTAATGTCCACTTATAACTAAATACATGCCATATTTATTTTCTGGGTTTGGGTTATCTCACTCAAGATGATTTTTTTCCCTTGTTCCATCCATTTGCCTGCAAATTTCATGATGTCATTTTTTAAACAGTTGGACAATACTTCATTGTGCAAATGTACCACATTTATCTATTCTTCTGTTGAGGGAATCTAGGTTGTTTCCAGTTTCTGGCTATTATAAATACAGCTGTAATGAATATGCTTGAGCAAGTGTCCTTGTGGTAGGATGAAGTGTTCTTTGGGTATATGCCCAAGAGTGGTTATAGCTGGATCTTAAGGTAGATCTATTTCTATCCTTCTGAGGAACCACCGTACTGATTTCCATAGTGGCTATCCAAATTCGCACTTCCACCAGCAACTGAGGAGTGTTCCTCTTGCTCCACATCCTTGTCAGCATGAGCCATTACCTGTGTTTTTGATTTTAGTCATTCTGACAAGCATAAGATGGAATCTCAAAGCAAGAAGCAGTCTCCAGATCACAGTGTCCTCATCCCCACCTTACCTGCTACCCCATTCTAACTCAAGTTTGTTTTTAAACCTTTTCCTTTTTAAAAATTGATTGTATTGAGTTATACATTTTCTCTGCTCACCTCTCTTCGTCTCCCCTTCACTTCTACTCTTTCCCATGCTCCCAATTTACTTAGGAGATCTTGTTATTTTCTACTTCCCATGTAAGTCTCGCTTAGGGTCCTCATTGCTGTCTAGGTTCTCTGGGATTGTGAATTGGAGGCTGGTTTTCTTTGCTTTATGTCTAAAAGCCACTTATGGGTGATACATATGATAGTTGTCTTTCTGGGTCTGGGTTACCTCACTCAGTATGTTTTCTAGATCCATTCATTTGCCTGAAAATTTCAAGATGTCATTATTTTCTTCCGTTGTGTAGTGCTCCATTGTGTAAATGTACCACATTTTCCTTATCTGTTCTTTGGTCGAGAGGCATTAAGGTTGTTTCCAGGTTCTGGCTATGACAAACAATGCTGTTATGAACATAGTTGAGCATATGGCTTTGTGGTACGATTAAGCATCCTTTAGGTATATACCCAAAAGTAGTATTGCTGGGTCTTGAAGAAGGTTGTTTCCTAATTTTCTGAGAAATCATCATACTGATATGCAAAGGGGCTGTACCAGTTTGCACTTCCACCAACCCCTCATCAGATAAAGGGCCAATATCCAAAATATACAAAGAACAAATAATCCATAAAAAATGGGGTACAGACCTAAACAGAGAACTCTCAACAGAGGAATCTAAAATGGCTGAAAAGACACTTAAGGAAATGCTCAGCATCCTTAGTCATCAGAGAAATGCAAATCAAAACAACTCTGTGATTCTATCTGACACATACTATAAGAATGGCCAAGAGCCTCACGTTCTTTTAGTAAACAAAAGGGAGGAATGTTAGTATTCAGGCATCTGTACTGGCCTCCCTTTGGGTCCTGACAGAATACATCCTCGGCTGCAGCCACTAAGAGTACCCTGTACATGTTAGCTACTTTCCCTTATAAAAGGCTGGCCTGGTACACCTCCTGGCTCTTTCTCTTTCACCATTCTTGTCCCCAGAGACCGGTCTCTGCCTCTTTTTCAACACCTTCTCTCTCCTCTGCCAGTAAGTCTCCCATGTGAGCCCTGTTATATGGCATGACTCCTTCCTGCTGTGTTTTAATATATAACACCTCTATTGGATGTGGAGTTGCTAAAATTATGGAGTGAGTAGACCTTGTCTTGTCCCTGAATTTTAGTAGAATTGCTTTGAGTTTCTCTCCATTTAATTTGATGTCGGCTATAGATTTGATGTAAACTAGCTTTATTATGTTGAGGCATATCCCTTGTTATCTCTAATCTCTCAGGGACTTTTTATCATGAAGGAGTGTTAGACTTTGTCTAATATTTTTCTACATCTAATGAGATGATCTTGTGGTTTATTTCATTTGTTTATATGGTAGATTACATTTGTTGATTTTCATATAATAAACCATCTTTGCATATCTGGTGATATGTGGTGGATGATCTTTTTGATATGTTCTTGAATTCAGTTTTCAAGTATTTTATTTTTTTACATCTATGTTCATGAGGGAGATTGGTCTGAAATTCTTTCTTTCTTGGATATTTATGTGGTTTGGGTATCTGGGTAACTATAGCATCATAGAATGAATGTTGTGATATTCCTTCTGTTTCTATTTTGTGCAATACTTTGAGGAGTACTGGCATTAACTCTTCTTTGAAAGTCTGACAGAATTCTGTGCTAAAACCATCTGTTCCTGGACTTTTTGTGGTTGAGAGAGTTTATAACGACTGCTTCTATTTTACTAGGGGTTATAGGTCTATTTAAATTATTTATCTGATCTTGATTTAACTTTAGTAAGTGGTACCTATGGAGAAAATTATCCATTTCTCTAAGATTTTCCAATTTGATGAAGTATAGTTTTTTTAAAGTATGTCTTCATGATTCTCTGAACTTCCTTGGCATGTCTTTTTATGTTCCCCTTTGTAAACAGAGACTACACTTTGTTTCCTGGCTTCCCAGACCCGAGTAATCACACAGAAACTATATTAATTACACACTGTTTGGCTGATAGCTCAGGCGAATTTCTAGCTAGCTCTTATACCTTGTATTAACCCATTTCTATTAGTCTATGTATTGCCACATGGCCGTGGCATTAACTCATTTTCTACATGTCTTGTTTTGCTGGTGGCTGACTGGCATTTTCCTGACTCCTTCTTTCTCTCTACATTCAATTTAGTTTTCCCACTTACCTATATTCTACCCTGCCAAAGGCCATGACAGCTTCTTTATTAACCAGTGGTAATAAAAATATTCATAGCATACAGAGGGGAATCCCACAACACCCCTTCTCATTTCTGATTTTGTTAATTTGGATATTCTCTCTCTCTGCCTCACTAAAAAATTAGTTTGGATAAGGGTTTTTCTATCTTGTTGATTTTCTGAAAGAACCAACTCTTTGTTTTATTGATTCTTTGTATTTTCTGCTTCTATTTTATTGACTTCAGCCCTCAGTTTATTTCTTACTCTCTACTCCTCTTGAGTATGCTTAATTCTTTTTGTTCTACCGCAGTGGTTCTCACCTTTCCTAATGCTGCAATCCTTTGATACAGTTCCTCATGTAAAATTATTTTTGTTGCTTCTTCATAACTACTATTTGCTACTGTTTTTCCTCCAAATGTCTTTAACTCAGCCCATATACCAGACTGGTATAACTTTAACTCCTTTACTAACATTTAAAATCATAGTAAAAGAAAGTATAATATCATAGTTTTGGCCACTTGGTCTTTCAATAAACAACAAAAATCATTTAAAATTTGTTATTCCCAATGCGGTTTATTAATGTGCACTAGGAATTAATTAAACTTAGTTCATCTGCAAGAGCAGCAAGGTCTCTCAATCACTGAGTCATCTCTCCAGCCCCCACACTAGATTCTTGTGACTAAATTTAGTTTACTATGTTTGAGTTAATTACTTCAGAGACATGTGAAATTGGTGTCATGATTGGTTTTGTTTTTTTGTCAACTTGGCACAAGCTAGAGTTATCTACGATGAACTTCAGCTGAGAAATGCCTCCCCTAGATGGCCTTTCTGCAGGCCAGTAGGGCATTTTCTTGATTATTATAATTGATGTGGAAAGGCCCAGCCCACTTGGTACAATGCCATGCTGGGCAGGTGGTCCTGAGGTGTGTTAGAGAGAAGGCACAGCTGCATTCCTCCAGGGGGTTATTGGCCTTGAGTTCCAGCCCTTGCAGGGCAATGAGTGATGGAGTGTGACCTGAGAACAGCTCACTGTGGCAAGGGTACCAGTTCCTCAACAAGAAGCTGTGATGGAGAAATGTCTGTTTCAGTAGGTCTGGACACAAACTTTTGCTTAATAAACATTTTATTAATAATATAAATTAGTAATGTAAACAAATAAATTAGCAATATAAACAAGACCAGAAGAAGGAATTTTTGTAAAGATTTATTTTGTTATATATGTATGGGTGATTTTGCTCATACCACGTGTCTGTGTTTGGTGCCTGAGGAGGTCAGAAGAGGACACTGGATCCCCTAGAACTGGAGTTATAGATAGCCATGAGCCACCATATGGGTGCTGGATGAACCTGGGTCCTCTGCAAGAATAAGTGCCCTTGACTGCTGAGTCATCTCTCCAGCCCCCAAAGGAGAAAAAATTTAAAAGATGAGGGAGAAAAAGAGCATCTACCTCTGATGCTCCAAATGATGTATAGTTTATGACTTTTAAGAAGTACACATATTAGGGAAATAAGTGGTTAAGGACTTTTTGGGGGGTCACTTTGTTATTGTTATGCTGTGCTGCATGTACCATCTCTCCTTCTATTAAAATCCATACATGGAGATTTGTATTATATCAGGGCAATATAAAAGATATGAAAAAAAGGTGGGTTTCTGTTGTAGAAGGCCGCTTGTTTTATCCTGGCTGTTCAGCCCAGAAATAACCACACAGAAACTGTATTATTTAAATCACTGCTTGGCCTATTAGCTTTAGTTTCTTAATTGCTGATCTCTTACATCTTTATTTTACCCATTTCTATTAATCTGTGTATTGCCACGTGGCTGTGGCTTACTGGCAAGGTTCCGTCTGGTGTCTGTCTCCAGCAGGGCTACATGGCTTCTCTTAACTCCTCCATCATTCTCCCAGCATTCAGTTTAGTTTTCCCATCCTAGCTCTACTCTGCCCTACCACAGGCCAATGCAGATTCTTTATTCATTAACCAATAAAAGCAATGCACATACAGAAGGACTTCCTACATCAGGTTTCTTTTTGGAATTTCAAATGATTTATAGCAAACCAAAATGAACCATTCTGAGAGAACCAACATCTCCAAAGTCCTGTAAGTAAACAGATAAAAAAATAATTAAGCCATGTTCAGAGTAAAATCCCAACTTAACATTCATATCTTTACTATAAATAAAGTATTTTAAGACAGTGAAATGAAATAAAAATGTGCTGTGCTTATGTAAGTGGACCTTCATGTTTATCTTACTCAGTGGCTACAATTTTTCATAGCTATTTATAAAAATGAATCCAGAACTAATGCATGAGGCATAAAGTTGTGGAGGAGGGACAGGGTGAGACTGTGGAGCATCAGCTGATTCCAGCAACAGACATCATTTGTGACTCTGCCTCAGCGTGCTTTCAAGTTTCCTAGAAGACGCACTTCTCTTTGGTGCATGTATGTGGGGTGTGTGTGGGGGGTGTGCACATGTGTGTACATGCACATGAGGAGGTCTGCAGTTGACAGCAGGTGCTTCCCCCAAATGCTCACCACTTCCATTATTCAGGCAGGGTCTCTCACTGATCTTACCATTTGCCAAATCTGGCTAATGTATCTGTCCAACTTGCCCCTGGGATCCCTCTCATTGTCTCCTAAGTGGTGAGATTATGTGACCCTCATGCCTGCCTGGCTTTTATGTGGTCCCTGAGGATCTGAACTCAGGTCACCATGCTTACTGGCCAGGTGCTTTAGCCACTGGGCCTCTTCCTCAGACCTAACTAACATGCCCGTCCAAATCTTGCCTTTATTTTAACTGTTTGTTTGTGACATTTAGAGTCATAGGTCACAAAACAGTAAAGGTTATATGCTTTTTTGTTTTATGAAGGTGTAAAGAAATACCACGAGAATCCCATCTTTCTTCAACTCGTTTTATTTTCATGGCTCCCCTCCAACCTTACTAACTTCAGAGCAAAGATTTTATGACAGAAGTCTGAAATTAAAGCTGCTTGGAGATAAGATACGGATGGGCAATTGTACTTGAAAATAAACAGTGGGAGTGTTTTTTGAAAAATACTGTAGGCTACTTGATATTGAAATAACAAAGACATGGAGTAGGATTGTAGCACTCACCAGCTCCTGTCAGAATTGAACACATTGTTCTTAAAATTCAGGTGGAAATATTTATTTTAAAATAATTTTGAGGTAGGGATATTTAAAAATGATTTTTGAGTGTCATAGAATGTTTGCCTAGCATGTGCTAGGAGCACCGTGAATGGGCGGGGGTTAAGTTCTATATTAAAGTCCTTTCGACTAAGAGAAGCTGTTCATGGACTGCATTTATACTTGGCTGCTGGAAGACCAGGTTGCTTCCCTAAGAAGTTCTGTGTGCTTTGACTGTTTCTTTCACCCTTCCCTTCCCTTTTCTTTTGTCTCTATTTCCTTCCTTCCCCTCTCCTGCTCTTTCTCTCCAGTGATGCCAGGGTTTCCTTAGAAATTTTTTTTTCTTCTTCTGAAGTTCTCGCTTTAAAATCCATCTGGCTCTTAAAAACTTTACTTTAGGACAGTGTTCTCAACCTTCCTAATGCTGCAATCCTTTAATACAGTTCCTCATATTATGGTGGCCCCCACCCATAAAATTCTTATCATTGTTACTTCATAACTATAATTTTGCTGTTATGAACTGTAATGTAAATATTTGTTTTTCAGTGATCTTAGGTGATCCCTGTGAAAGGGTCTCAATTTCTAAAGGGTTGTGATCCACAGGTTGAGAACCAACCACTGCTTTTGGACATTGATTGGTACCTGTTTTACTTTAGGCAGATGCATTGAAGACTAACAAAATAAGGTATTTTATATTTGATAATTTAACATTATTAAGAGTAAAGAATACTCATTAAATACAATTTAGAAAATGCAAATATATGGTTAAGATATATTTTTTTGGTACTTTTCCACATATGTTTTAATAAATGAAACTATTTGAAACACACACACACACGTCATGTTGGGGACTGAATCCTGGGAAACACTCTACCACTAAGCTATTTCCTCAGCTGGCATTTGGATGTATGATCTTTGATTTTAACGTCTTGAGTTTTATTCCATCAAGTACTATTGCTTAACCATTCCTTTTAAATTAAATTTATGTGGTTTCTAATTACTTCTTTTCATAAATAACCCTGTGATGAATGTTCTTAGTCATGGACCTTTCCTGTGCTTACTGTTACTTCTCACTCTGAAGAAACTCTGTGGAGAGAGGACTAAGGCTGATGACATTTTAGTCCCTGATAAAAATGGGAGACTTGGTGGTTTTGCTTGTTTCTTTCTGTTATATAAGCTGCAGCAAGGCTGACCTCGACTTCACGGCTAACCCTTGACTGAATGATAGTGCATGTTAATTCTTGTAGTAACTTACAACAACAAAAGGCTGTGCTGGGTTTCTCAACTGATTTCTACATATGACTAAGTACCTGCCAAGGACCATGGCTGTTACCCAGTGTGGGGGAGACCAGCTCACCTTCCCTTTCATGCATCCAGACTTTGCTAAGTGGATTCAACAGCGTGGTAAGAGCTGCTGTGCTACAGCTGAATTTGGACTTCCTGCCAGTTGATGCAGTGGTTTTCCCTGAATGGCCTTGTCTTTTTATGTCAGATTTTTCTCTATGTTACCAACGGTGTCTCATTGTGTTTTTGATCTAACTAGCACCAGTTTCCAGGAGGAGCAAGTTTGGAGCCCGAGAATGAAGTGAACATGGGTTTGGACAGGTGTTCCACCTGGGATGTTATCTAGTCAGTCACATTCTCCTTCTTGCACCTCTGTCAGTTGTTTGGGAAACACTATGTAATGTCATGCTTGCTCTTAACAGCAAGACAGTGAGCAAACTAGCCATAAGGCCATAAGAGAGTTACAGCTTTGGGTGGCAATAAACCTCCCATAGTCCATGCTGGTCTCAAACTCACTCACTATGTAGCTAAGGCTGATCTTAAATTTCTGCGTCTCCTGCCTCTAATTCCCAAGTGCTGGGATTACAGGTGTTTGCTACCACACCTGGCACAAGCTAGAAGTTTCAACAAATGATGACTTTCAGAGCTAAGAGAACAGCTTTTGAGGGACCAATCCTTCTCTCCAGGGACTGAAGCTTGGCTGTAAGTGTTCTTAATCTGCTGAGCCATCTTGTCAGCCAAGCTACAAGCTCTTAAAGATTTACTTTATTTTGAGATCTGTCCTACTATGTAGCCCAGGGAGACCTTAAACTCATGGCAATCCTCCTGCCTCATTACTCTGAACCTCTGTCCAGCAAATCTATGGACAATGATGCACATCCAATCTGCCTTCCATCATTGCAAGGCCTGAAAGTCAAAGTGATCTATATCCAAGTTCCCCTTCAAAACACTTTTGTACTTCAAAATGGCTTGCAAAAATATCAAAGCATATATGAAATGTATGTTTTTATGATAATTGAATTTTTATTGGAACACAAGGGCCCTCAAGACTAGACTTAGGCTATTTTTTGGTAAACTGTCAGAGTAAAGCAGCTGTAACAACAGTGTCATCTACAAAGTCTAAATATTTTCTATTTGGCCCTTCATGGGAAATGTTAGATGATCCCTGCTCTAAACACTGATAAATAAACGAATCATTTTTTCTGCTTTTTATAAGCTTCCTGTCATAGAAATCTACTTGCTGAAGAAAACCATTCAGAATTCCTATCATTAGAAACAGTATAATTAGCAATACATATTAGTTAATAAACGAATGGAACTAGGTGTTGGATGTGCATGCATGAAAACCGAGTCATCGTGACCATCCACCTTCCTTCTGCCCTGCACATCCCTCCCGGTATCCAGCAACCCTTCTATTTTTGGCCATCCTCCTATTTATTTATTTATACTAACCAGTAGAGAGTAGTTTGGCTCAAAATGGCAAAAATGCCAAGGTTGAGAAACCTCAGTCTAGAGCTGCACCATTGTCATGTCCAGCTTTATTCTTTTTGAGCTGGGCAACGGTGGGAATTAATCCCGGAATCCCAGTTATTTACATGGTGCTAAAAGCAGCCTCACCCACAAAAGCACCTGTGGGAGCTAGATCTTCACCCAAAACACTTGAGACTGGTGTCAGCATAAGAAAATGTATAATTACTACTGCAATTTTATTTTTTTGTTGGATATATCAAATTGAAGTTGGAAAAGAGGTGATAAACATGTGAAACCATCATTATTCCTATGGTGTAGATGTGGTTTGTCCCCTAAGGGCTGATTTGCTGAAAGCATTAGCAGGTTGTAGGAACCTGTAAGAGTGAGGCTCAGTGAAGGTGATAAGCCACTGGGGACCTTCTCTCCACAGGAACTCATGCTGTACTTGCAGAGTAAAGGACCAAGCCTAACCCCTTCTCCCTAGTCTGTCTTGTCTTTCAGCTTCTTCACATACACTCCTGCCATCGTGTAGTGTTAGGAGTGGCAGGGCTGCGTCCCCGGCACCCGGCCGCCCGCATGGCTAGCTTATGCCCAAAATAATTACACGGAAACTGTATTCTTTTAAACACTGCCTGGCCCATTATCTGTAGCCTCTTATTGGCTAGCTCTTACATATTAATAGAAATCTAACCCATTTCTAATAATCTGTGTAGCCACGAGGTGGCTTACCAGAGAAGATCTTAACCTGCATCTGTCTGGAGTGGGAGAATCATGGTGACTCCCTGACTCAGCTTCTTTCTCCCAGCATCCTGTTCTGTTTTCTCCGCCTACCTAAGGGTTGGCCTATCAAATGGGCCTAGGCAGTTTCTTTATTAGTAAGAAATCACTCCCACATCACCATCGAGATACTGTGTTCCATGAAGCCCTTGCCAGATGCTGAGCTGATGGGGCTACCCAACCTTGTACTTTCAGCTTCCATACTGTGGCCTAAAATCTATTCTTAATAAAGTACATAGCCTTAGGCATTTCATTCCAGTGAAAGAATATAGTCTGTTATGTTACAAGAAAATATGCATGTTTATATTGAAGCACTATTTAGGATAGACAAGTTAGGCAATCATCCAGGTATTCATTCATAGGTACATAGATAATGAAAGTGTGATAAGGAACTTTACTAAACTATAAAAAGAATGAAATTATGTAATTAATGAAGAAATGGATGAAACAGGAGGTCATCAACGAATACCCATGTTCTCTCTAGTGGAGTCTAATCTGTAAACATAATATGCCTATTCATAGTTATGTATTATATAAACATTGAAGTCGATGACTAGGGAGAGGACTAGTTAGAGGGGGTGGAAATAAGGGAATAAATATGGTCAAAGTATATAGTATACTCAAGTGAAAATGTCTTTACAAAACAACAGACTAGACACACACACACACACACACACACAATCTCAGAGCTTGGTCCCTGGAATCTGCACACTGTAATGTGCCCTCTGACCTCCACATACACGCTATAGCAATGCATGACACTGTCCATACCCCCCACACAAAATAAACAAATGTAAAGCTCCATTTCTAAAAGAAATTGCAAATATTCTAGGTATATATCGAAATATATACCGTATCAGTTTCTCTAAGTTTCAGCAAACTGAATGTAGATTATTCCTGCATATTCATTGGAGTACAGACTGCTTTCCTTCTAATTCCATATCTAAACAATAATGTCAATAAAGGTCTGACTATAAAGAGGCTGGCTGGCCCAAGTAGATCTAGTTCCTGTAAATGAAGCTCTTGGGAAGATGAGGAAGGAGGATTGCCCTGAGGTTAAGGCCAAGGCTACTTTGGGCTACAAAGTGAGCTCTACTGACCCTGGGCTATGGAGTGAGTTTAAAAAAAATGAACAATAACAAAAAATGCAAAAATGTAAACTGAAGAAATGATGTTTATGACTACTATTATTAGGACAGTTACAGACGATTAACAAACTTCTACCACACCTAGTCAGAAAAAAATTGCATGACAACCCTATGGGGCATGTGGACTCATATCTGTTTTACAGATGAACTCAGGCTTAAGGGAATGAAAATGGTTTATCCGAAATGATGCCGTTAGTGTAGCCGTCATTCATGCCGCCTTGCAGTGAGTTAGTTCATGGCCTTCTGCGCACTATTTGTAATACTATGAAGTTTTTTTTCTTACATGACATCATTTTTTTTCTTTTGGAGTTGATAAACTCCAAAGGATGTTAGAGACATAATACAGAGAGGGGCTTAGGACTACTTGACAGAAGAGACATTTTATATGCATTTCTTATAAAACTGTATGAGTGAAAGGCATTAGATACATTTCTCTGCTAAGTCTTTCTAGGTCTTCTGCGTACTTTCAGCCATCACTAGTGGAAGAGTGATTTACACAGACACTCAGATACAGACTGCTGCTGTATTAATTGGCCCATAGCCTATTAATTTCTGACTGTTGATAAATTAAAGAGGGAATTTTACTAAAAATAAAACACTAAATTTACTAAAAATAAAACACTAAATAGTTATCTAGAAGCTATAAATGTAGACTGGTTAATACAGGCCAACAGACAGCATGCAGTTAAGCAAGTTGTAGTTTCTCACAGTCACTTTACCTGTCCCCTGCAGTCTTCTTCCAGTCCTCCTAAAATGAAATCACAATATTAATGACTGAAAATCAATAACTAATCACAAATAAATTAAAATGTTGAAAACATTAGAGAAAACAATAGCCAGATTTTAACTACTGTAAGGCTGCCAATTACTAGAGAATAATTAGCCCTTTGGACTTGGAAATCTTTCAGTGTCCATAGTCAATTAGAGTGGAGGATGCCCGCATAGTTCCTTTCACTGTGTAGCCCTGGTTGTCCTGGAACTAGTTCTGTAGACCAGGCTGGCCTCGAACTCACAGAGATCCGCCTGCCTCTGCCTCCCGAGTGCTGAGATTAAAGGCGTGTGCCACCACAACGCTGGTACCACTTTTAGGGAGTCTCTTACACAGTTGCTTTAGTTACATATTTACTATGTACATATGGACTTTCTTGCTAAATTAAACAAGGGCCAAACTACTTCCCAGAGATCCTGAGAGCAAGACTACTTGAGTGTAAGCTCCAGGCTCACCACATCTGTGTCACATGAAAGTATGCTAGAAACATGGACTCAAGGGTCCTACTCTAGACCTACTGAATTAGAGCCAGGATTTTAACAGTCCCTCAGATGTCATACAATCATTAATGGATGCTTTTGTTTTCATCAGATAATCCATCATTTTCTATTCTATCACCCGCCAGCAATCTCTCACTCACTAGAAAGGCTTAGGGTTTCTCATCGCTGGCCTACAGATGCTCCTGAAACGACCACACCCCTTCCGTTGTCCTCTGTGGGACCTGAGTTCATTACCTTCTGCATCTGAGATGGTGGTCACCGAAGAGTCGGTGCACATCTTCCCCTCCTGCTCATTCCCTCTCTCGGTCACCTGTCTGTCAGGTGGGAGGTTTTAAGTGAAAAAAGGGATTAAAAAAAATAAGGGTAGGTATATTACAGAAAGAACTCCATAATGCTTAGTATAGTGAGCATATTAAATATGTTCAAGCTTCTGAATATTTTAAAAACATAAATTCACAAAATTTCCAGGAATTATATAACTATAATATCATTATGTTAAAAGAAGGTATCTTTCTTTTCTAAAATATTATTATTAATAATTTAACAAGATCTCACTGTGTGGCCCTGACTGGCCTACAACTCACTCTGTAGACCAGGCTGGCCTTGAACACCAAGAAATCTACCTGCCTCTATTGGGATTAGAGGCATATGTCACCATACCCAGCCAACATTTTACTTTTAAGGAGCTATTTTTGCAGTTCTGGTGATCAAGGTCAAGATCCAGTGCTTCATAGGCAACATCCTAGCAGTGGGGTACGCCCCTAGCTCCCACTTTTCATGTATATTGGTAACATTCAACCCCAGCTACATTCCCTGCCCTTCCCTCTTCCAGACCCTTCTCTCTTTACAGATGCCCCTCTACTTTCATGTTTCATTTCTGTTATTAAATCTGGGTTCCACGTGAAGTATTTGCACTTCTGAGTCTGGCTTTTCCAGTAAAGATTACACTGTGCCACTTTCTTATAAATGACATAACTTCATCCTTTATGGAGGAAAGCCACTTTTAGTTCTTCTGCAATTGGATATTTATGTCCCTTGTGTCCTGCTGTTTCCCTCTGCAGGGCTCACCCGCCATGTTCTTTACTTTCCTGGTTGTTGTGAGAGCTGCGGGCCTCTTCCCACAGCCCAGCTCCCAGCCGCCTGGCTAGCTTATGCCCTGAAATAACAACACACAAACTGTATTCTTTTAAACACTGCTTGGCTCATTAGCTCTAGCCTCTTACAGGCTAATTCTCATATTTTGCCTAACCCATTTTTAGTAATCTGTGTAGCACCAGTCTTACCGGGAAAGATTCAGCATGTCTGCCCTGGAGATCGGCAGCCTGCCCTCTGTCTGAGGCATCTTACCTCACTTCCTCTTCCTCCCAGCATTCTGTTCTGTTTACTCCACCCACCTATGTTCTAACCTATCAGGGCCAAGCAGTTTCTTTATTAATTAACCAATGACCTTCCTCCATCACCTGGGTTCTGCTGATGTCTCTGGATCACATGCTCACACCTGAAGACCTGGAGCTGGGAACCACAGGACGAAGGAGAACGTGTGGTGTTTGTCTTTCTGAGTCTGGATTATCACACGCAACATGGTCTTTTCTAGTTCCATCTGTTTGTCTGCAAATTTCATGATTTCACTTTTTCCTTACAGATGAATAGTACTTCGTTATCTTCATTATTCATTTGTTAGCTGGCTGACATTTAGGTTGTTTACATTCCCTAGCTATTGTGAACAGAGCCACAGTGAATACGGCTGCTCAAGTGTCTCTGGAGTGGGCTATCAAGGTCTTTAGCGTTTGTCAAGTGGTGTTAGAGCAGGATCATATTGTGGATTTTAGTTTTACTTTTGTGGATTCTCCATATTGATTCTCAGAGTGGCTGCACCAATTTGTGTTTCCACCAACAGTGAATAAAGGTTCCCTTTCCCCTACTGTTCCTCCAGCATTTGTGGATCTTAAGACCTTCTGACTGGGGTAAGACAAAGTCTTATTTATTTAGATTTGCCTTTCCCTAATTGCTAAGGATGATGAAGAGTATATGAGGTATTTCTTGGCCATTTCTGTATCTTCATTTGAGAGCTCTCTATTCAGATCCATAGCCCACTGTTTGAATGGGTTGATCTTTTGCATGTTTTTGAGTTCTTTATATAGTCCTGATAGTAATCCTCTATCAGATGAATTCTATCAGAAGAGATTCTCTCCCATTCTCCTCAAATGATTGTTTCCTTTTCCTTTTAGTTTTGAGCCCCGCCCCCCCTTGTCAATTGTTGGCCTTGACTTCTGGACCAATGGAGTCCTATTCAGGACGTCCTTTCCTAGACCAGTGCCTTTTTAAAAAAAAATATTTATTTATTTATTTATTTATTTATTTATTTATTTATTTATTATGTATATAATAGTCTATCTGTTTGTATGTCTGCAGCCCAGAAGAAGGTATCAGACCTCATTACAGATGGTTGTGAGCCATCATGTGGTTGCCGGGAATTGAACTCAGGACCTTTGGAAGAGCAGGCAATACTCTTAACCACTGAGCCATCTCTCCAGCTCCTAGACCAGTGTCTTACAGGGCACTGCCCGCCTTCTCTTCTGGCAGTCTCTGTTTCAGCTTTCACACTGAGGGCTTTATCTTGTCACAGTGAGTTTTCTGCAAGGTCTAATTTCATTCCTCTGCAAGTAGACACTTAGTTTCCCCAGCACCTTTTGTTGAAGATGCTGCTTTTTCTCTAGTGTATGTTTTGTATTTGTCAAATATTAGATGCCTGTAGTGACATGTACTCATGTTTGAGTCTTCTGTTTTGTTTCAGAGGCTGATATGATGAATGTAATATGAATAATAAAATCCCAGAGACAGATGCTAGGGTTCAAGTTGAAGATCAGAAAAGTCCAGGGGAGCCTTGAGTCCTGGGATTAAAGATGTGTGCCACCACTCCCTGCCTTCTAGTGGCTTAGCTCTGCATTCTGATCTTCGGACAGCTTTATTTATTTTACACAAACAAAGTATCACCATATCTTCTGTGCCAGTGCCACATTATTATCACCATGGCTCTGTAATGTATCTTAAAATCTGGAGTGATAATCTCTCTTTTATTCTTCTTTTCTCAAGACTGCTTTGGCTATCCTGGTTCCTTTCTGATTCCAAGTAAATTGTAGGGTTTTTTTTTCTATTTTTGTGAGAACGAGATAAAGATTTTGATTGTGTTTACATTGAGTCTGTAATTGGCTTTTGGTAGGATGGTCACTTTTACATTATTAATTCTATCAACTCATGACCTTTCCATCCTCTAGTGTCTTTCTCTTTCTTCAGAGATGTAATGTTTTCACTGCAGAGGTCTTTCTCCGCCTTATCTGGGTTTACTCCTACATATTTTGAGAATAGTGTAAATAGGAGTATGTCCACGATCTCTTTCTCAGCATGTTTGTTGGTGATGTATAGAAAAGCTATTGCTTCTTCTAGGTTGAGTCTATACACTGCCACATTGCTGAAATTGTTGATTGTTTCTAGAAGTTTTCTGGTAGAACTGTAGGGCTCTCTAGGGTTATCCCATCATTATCATCTGACAATGGATTATTTGACTTCTTTTCCTATTTGTATCTCTCTAATTTCCGTGTGTTATTGCTATAACCCTTGCTTCAAGCTCTATACTGAAAAGAAATGCAATACTGGACAGACCCATCTCATTCCTGACTTCGATAGGTTTGCTTTGTGTTTTTCTCCTCTTAGGATGGCGTTGGCTGTGTTATCTGTCATGTATCACACATAGGCTTCATTATGTTGGAATATGTTCCCTCCAGTCCTACTCTTTTTAGGGCTTTTAACATAAAGTGTTGTTGAAGTTTGTCAAATTCTTTTTATATATCCATTAAGTCTATTTGTATAATTGTTTTATATTTATTGACTTATTTTGAGACATCCCTGAACCTCTGGCATAAAGCTAGCTTAATTATGGTCTTTTGATATGTGCCTGCATATAGTTTGCAAATATTTTATTTAGGATTTCTACATGTCTTAGTTACTAATTTTATTGCTATGATAAAATACCATGACCAGAAGGCCCCTTTCTTATAGCATCCATGGACCAAGGGATGGCCCCGCCCACAGTAAGCTGGGCCTCCTATATCAACCATCAATCAAGAACATGCATCAGAGCTTTGCCCACAGGCCAATCTGGGGGGTATACTTTATTAGCTGAAGCTTTCTCCTTCCAAATGACTTTGGCCTTGTGTCAACTGACAGAAAGCTAGCCACCACATATGTTCATCAGGGACAGTGGCTCTCTTTTGGTTAGCTGAACCAAGGATCTGTCATTCCTGTTTATGTTCCCAAAGAACCAGCTCTTATATTTGTTGATTATTTGAATTGTTTGTTTCTAGTTCATTAATTTCTCCTCTTGTTTTATTATCTTTTGGTGTTTACTGGGTTTGGATTTGGTTCTTGTTTTTCCAAATTCTTGGAATATATTAAAAAATCATTTATTTGTTCTCTTTCTGATTTTATAATGAAGGCTCCTAGAATTATAAATTTCCCACACAGGATATCTTTTAATATATCACAAAGTTTTTGTTATGTTGATTTTTCATTTCTTTCATTTACAAGATTTAAAAAAAAACTCCCTCTTGACTTCTTTTTGACCCGTTCATTATTAAATAATGAGTTGTTTGATCTCCAGGAGTTTGTGTACTTACTAGAGATTTGCTTGCTGTTGATTTTAAGTTTTACTTCATTATGGTCAAATAGGACACACAAAGTTATTTCTATTTTTCTGTTAGGATTTTTGGGTCCTGGGATGTTACCTATTTTAGAGAAGGTCCCCCAGTCTTCTGAATAGAAGTTATGGTCTTTAGTGTTTGGTGGTATATTCTGTATATATTTGTTAAATCCCTTTGATGTCTGATGTCAGTTAATTCTGATGTTTCTGTTTTGTTTTTTGTTTTTTTCTAGATGGCATGTTTATGGGAGAAAATGGTGTATTGAAATCACCTACTATGATTGACTTGGTGTTAATCTATGTCTTTAATGCCAGTCATAACCTTTGAGTAAAACTGGATGTAGCAGTTTGGTCCATACATGCTTAGGACTTTAATGTCTTTATGATTCCTCTTTCCCTTGATTAGGATGGAGTGTCCTTTATCTCTTTTGATTAGTTTTTGTTGGAAGTTTATTTTGTCTGATTATTAGAATAGCAATGCCTGTTTGCTTTCTGGTCTCCTTTTATTGTAGTATTCTTTTACATCCTTTCACCGATCTCTCAATGGAAATTTTGAAAGTCAGAAGATGGAGAGATGCACTCCAAGTTATACAAGACCACAGCTGCCAACCTAACCAC